TTCAGATTGATTTAATGGTATGTAAGTTATTAACCTATGGTAGTATTTGTCTTCAGTTGCAGTAGAAGATAGGTGGGTAAGTGCATAAAATAGAATATCATATAGTGATAAAAGAAAGGAACGAAAATAAATTATGGTTGATACATTGAAGGAAAGAAGAAACCATTAAAGGTGGGAAACATCTGCTCATATTCAAAGACACTTTGGGCCCCTTTTTTGGCGGTGGTCTGGAAATGTGGACCTCTTCCTGAGTGGGGGTGGAGTCCTGATTGGGTTTAGTAGGTTGGCGGTGATGGGCTGATGAGCATGATATGCCAAAACTTTAGGTTCAGCTATTCTGATGACACAAGATACTTTCTAAAAGGGGTGTCAGAAGTGCCTCTGAATATGAACATTTATCTTGACAAATTTACAAATATTTTTATATTTTCAGAAAATGTATAAATATTTTGACAGTGTAAAAAAAGAAAAAATCTGATTTTGACAAAATATAGAAAGTGGAGGTTAGCTTATGTAAAAGTGCTCCTGCTTATTTCAGAGCAGTTACATGAGTGTGCACATCTATTCATAAATATATGTTTATGAAAGTGTATGTCTTTGTGGATTTACAAGTGCACATGTTTTGATAGGTATGTCTGGGTGTGCACTTTGGTTCTTTTTGTGTGTACATATGTGCACACATGTATGTGTTTGTATGATGATATATTAAGATCTTTCTTTTCTAAACATGGGAAGCATATAATGCAGTATGTTTAAATTACTAAATGAATGGTTAAGTGGTTTGGTTCTATAACCCACCTGGGTTTCTGTTGAGGCACCTAATTTTTGGGCTAGAAATCCCATACATGTGTAGGTATTTTGCCTTTCCCAACCCTAATACTTACCTTTCTCATGGCTCATGGTCCTCCATAACAATATTGTGTAGTGTAAAAGCTGTAATGATAATTAAAGATTTTGATAACTAAGGTTATATTGATCCAGAAAATAAAAATAGTATAAAATATGTTTTGTTCCTGGGATGATTCACTTATGGAAATAATTAAGTTTGGTGATTAAAGAAAGTAGCTTATGATATTTAGACATAAAGCAAGGGAGTACATTTAACATTGAGATATATGAGAATAAGAGCTGAAAATAAAAGCAGTGCAGTGAGTTAAGCACGAAATGTAAGGTTTCTCTCATGTCGTTAGTTGACTTTCCAAATTCAAGACTAGATAGAAAATACACTTTTATCAGATAGTTCAGCTCCTGACTCGTTGTAATTATCATTTTGTTAGTATAAGTAACTTCTTTAAGTTTACTTAAATGTCAGGAAAATAGGGGCCTAGGGCATGGTTTATATGTGGAAAGGCTGAATAAATTTGAAAGATATTATCATTCCTTTTTGGTGTTATTTGTTAAACAGCACAACTGCACAGGGAATGAATTTAGGAATTCTAAAGGTATTGAAGAGATACAGTACTTAATTTGCTAGGAAGTCAAAAATCTCAGGAGGTGTCATATTCATTAGAGTCAATGGTCTAATTGTGCATACCATCTTCCATGCTCTAACATGATACACATTCTTAATCCTTTCAGATTTGAGAGACTAAATGAGTTCACCAAATGGCAAAGATGGGACTGATATGGGTACAGAAGTCCTGAATATTACCCAGGGGGAGGAGGCGCTGGACTCCTTGCTTGAAGATGACGGGAAGGGAAGCACCAAGTTGGATAACACATCGCAAAATTCTCTGAATAGGTAAGTTCATGTGAATAAAAATAGGTGTGTAGATGTGTGTGTTTATGTATGAATGCATATATATATATATAATATATATATATATATATATATATATATATATATATAATATATATATATTATGTATGTATGTATGTATGTATGTACGTGTCTATGGATATATGTATATATGTTTGTGTATGAATGAATATAAGTTTATATGTATGTTTATATGTTTTTGTATATGTGTATGTATGGATATGGATATGTATATGGATATGTATATGTATATGTTTAATATATATATATATATATATATATATATATATATATATATATATATATATATATATATATATATATATATATATATATATATATATATATATATATATATATATATATATATATAGTATATATATATATATATATATATATATTATATATATATATATATATATATATATATATATATATATATATATATATATATATATATATATATATATAGTATAGGTATGTATATTTGTATAGGTATATGTATGTGTATAGGTACTGATATAGATTTATGTATGTATATATGTTTGTATACATTATATATATTATATATATATATATATATATATATATATATATATATATATATATATATATATATATAATATATATATGCATATTGTGTGCATTTATATAGATATATTTATATTTATGTATATGTATGTATATATGTATTTATGTATATGTATGTATATATATATATACAAGTGTATATGATATGTATATATATTTGTATATGTTTATTTGTATATTTGTATAATATATATATATGCATATATATATATATATATATATATATATATATATATATATATATATATATATATATATATATATATATATATATGTATATATATATATATATATATATATATATATATATATATATATATATATATGTATTATATAATATATATATATATATATATATATATATATATATATATATATTATAATATATACATACATGTTTACATTTATATTTATATAATTTGTTCAATGTCCATCTTGAAATATCAGGCGATACGTGAAAAAGCTGTGATGCCTTTTGGTTGACTCAGACCAACATTTGAATTGAAGTGACAACCATGGTACTTTCAGATAATCATGTCTCAAAACAGACTTCCATCATCACAATCCTTGGAGTCCAAAGGCATTTGCAGTTTCCCATACCTGCAATGCCGTATTGATATTGTCATAGAGAAGGGGCAAGGGCTTGAAGTATGGGATTTATAGCAGACTTAGCTTTTTGAGTGGCACCTTCAGAAACTGTGAACCTGGGGAAGTTTGTTGGTTCAGTGTATGACCCTTCCTTCTCATGAAGTTCCGACAGAGACACCTTGTTGGTAGCCCCTTGTGGACCACCCCTTTGGATACTAGAGGTAAAATGTCATAGAATATAGTTTGTGTTGCAAGGTCATGTGTTTCTTTCCAGTTTTCACCCTTTTGTTGTTTCTTCTGAGGTCTTTCGTTTGTTCTTCCTTGGAGATCTGAAGTTCTCAGCCTTGCATTTCATATAGATCAGATGTGTACACTATAGCAGGTTGCTTTTGTTTATTGTTAAATAATGAAAGTCCGTAATAGTTTATGATTAAGGGCATTTTAGACAAATAGAAAATAATTCAAGATCTGAAAAAGATATGTTCCACCACAAGTGATTTAATGATCATCATACAACCAAGAAAACTCTACTGAACATCCTGAGCATGCATATTATATGATTTTCCTTAGGATCTAACTTGGCATTTGCACAATCCTTATGACTGGAAGTGTAATATGCTTTGTATTTTTACTGACCACTGACATTAATAGGCCTATTACTTAATATAGAAAGCATGAAGAGGGAAGAAACTCATTTTCATATAAACTTTTTCAGAACATAAGGTACATTAACTTATTAAAGCTTTAATAACCCCAGATGATTGCAATTCCTTGGCTTTGCCTTAGTGCCTAGCCACAAAATGTATCAAACCCTCATATATAATCAAGGCCAGTTTTGATCACTGCTGTTTATTGAGTTAAAATTTACACACCAGAAGATGCATGTTTCGTGGTGGGATGCCTCGTAGTAGTTGAGCATTGGAGCATCAGGGTTGGAAAAGTTATTACCGTCTTAGAAAATGAAGAGGAAGAGAGAAAGATGAGATAAATAGGAGAGGAGAGGAGAGGAGAGAGGAGAGAATGAGAGGAAAGAAAAGGAGAAGAAAAGAAGATGAGATGTGAGGGGAGGGGGAGAGGATGACTAGATGAGATGAGAGAGAAGAGATAAATTAGATGAGAGAGGAGAGAAGAGGGTCACTTGAGAGAAGATGAGGTGAATGAGGAAATGAGATGAGAGAGGAGTAGAGACAAGATGAGATGAGATGGGGAAAGGAGAGTAGAGTAGAGTAAAGTAGAATTTGAGAGAAGTGATGAGATGAGAGAGAAGATTAGAGGAGATGCAAGAAGAAAGGAGAGAAGAGGAGATGAGTTTAGAGGGGAGAGGAAATGAGAAAGGAGAGGAGAGGAGAGGAGAACAGAGGACAACAGAGGAGAGGTTAGGAGAAGAGAGATATTTGTAGTTTTTTGGCAGAGTGTCATTTGTTTGATAATTTTTGTAGTATATCAAGTTCTTGAAGTCAAGGTTTAAGTCATGCAAGAATATTTGTTATGGGATGTCCTGCTGGGAATTATAGAAATAAATATTCCCTCCATTATGCAAAATGTTGAAGAAAATTGGAGTACTGCAATTTCTGTGTTGGTATTATTATACACTTAACTTGGCAGATTGTTCTAGTTTGCACCTAACACTTTTGGTTGTAAAATGTTCAATATGATTTTTTTTAATTGATTATATATAGTTTGTTTACTACATTATCTTTTCAGTAACCAAATCACTTTAGAATAATGTACACTCAGAATCTGTCTGCTCTTTTTATTTGACTGAATTTACTTAATGCTCTTTTCTTAATATATACTGGAAATCATATTACTCTTCATTTGGTGTGCTAATTGTTAACATGCATTTACCTCCTTGTGAAAAAATTGCATGTGCACTACACTATGGAGGATTCCAGAGGCTCTAACATTTACTGTAGGCTTTCCTTCCATAGGTTCCCACCAGCTTTATTTTCTTGTTATTTTCTCATATGATAGGTTGTCAGACTTGAACAACATGACTTGAGGAGTAATTATTATTTTTTCACAAAATCATCTTACAATTTTCAGTGAGGTTATGGATAATACCTCTGACCTCTCGGCGGATTCATTGGTACAGTCAACAGACTCTGCAATAGCTGTCTCTCCTGATCTGGAACCAGACCAGGAGACTCAAGACTTTGGTAAAAAGGAGACAGTTGTGAACAACAATGGGCCAACAGGAGGTTCAGAGGTTGAGCAGCAGAAGGAAGAGAAGGAGGAGGAGCGAGAGGAGCAGGAAGAAGGAAGTAAAGCTGAAGTAGAGGACAGAAGTAAAGTACAGGAGACTGTCATACAAGACAAGCAGGAAGTAAAGCAAGATGAGCAGGTAGGAAAAGATTGACAGTGATTTTTTTATTATGCTTTATGATGTGGATTTTTATGGTTCAGCGATTGTTTAGTGCCTGTTTTTTTTTGTTTTGTTTTTTTTCCATGTGAGGCAAGTTTTTTTTATGGTCTTTGTCTTATGTGTTTGATTAACCCAGTGCTGACGGGTAAAAATGTTTGGTGAGTGGACATAATGGGATTGTTGGTGCGTATCGGCAGTTTCCCTGTTTGTGCCTGGTTCGATTGGTAGTTTGTGAGCGACATTTGGGACCTAAAAACTTTTATTTTGCTCTAATTTATAAAGATATTATAATTTTGAAGGTTTACCTTCATTATAGGTGCCATTGCCTAAAATCCTTACCATATAAATGAAACTGCTACTATCGGAGAAAAAACACCTCTGTCCAACAAGCCAGTGGCGCGGGAATGGGCATGATACGATGCCATCCGTTTTTCGGTCCACAACAGCCAAGGCATGTATGTACATGCCACCCGTCGGCTACGGGTTAATTTGTGTCAGTGAAGTCTTGTCTGATTGAAATGCCTTATTGACTGATGTGGATATTTTCTATGGTGTAGTTGAATCCATTGGTTTTGGGTACATGCACTGATCACTGTAATTTTTTGTCAATTTTTGTTTACATGTAGATGGCTTCGCAGGTGGAGGAGTCAACAAGTAGTCAGTGATTTTATTGTACTTGACTCTAATTCTTAGATTTGACTTCACACACGTAGAGCCATCAGTTTGTAATCAAAATTGATAAACTAAAATCACAGTGGACAGGTAAGGTAAACTTGCCCTCCTCGCATCAGTGGATTAATTGATGGCACATTAGTTGATGCTTAAAGTCTTTGGATATTGAATGAAACATTGATTGTAAATGTCACATAAAATTACTGCATGAAATGTGTGTTTTCAGAAGCAGAAGAGAATACTTATTATATAAAAAGGCATAGCTGTGAGGCTATTGTTAATATTGTCAGGGTTTTATATTTTTATGTAAAATAACTAGCCAGCTGGTATGCATGTTGGTGGCATATCTAATAAGTTGTTCCTAGAATGAATTGCTTAGACATGGATGCAGTTGCCAGTGTTATTGAGGATAAATTTGTTTTTGTGAGTGAAGTTTCTTTTTTTTTCAAAATGTTCCTAGGTGTGCCTTTTATTATGTTAGCTGTTGTTTATAATCTTTTGGCTAGAGATGTGTGGAGATTTTTTTCATAGCAGGTTGGCAGTTGATCAGTAGCAATTTCATTTTTATTATGTTTTTTTTTTAATTGTAGTGCTCTATTTGTTTGTTTAAAGAAAGGTGATTTTGGATAAAGTGAGGAAAATGGATGATGTACTGTTCTGTTTTAGTATAGAAGCTTGTTAGATACAGAATAAAGAAATAAGCTTATCCTAAAGTGGTTGGTAACAGATAATTGATATTGGTACAGCAAACAGAAGAGGATAACAGCAGGAATGGGAGAGTACAGGCCCACTCACAAGTGGAATATAATGATACTACACCTATTTCAAGTTCCCAGAATGGAACTACATCTTCAGGGGATGAACTTCAGCAGTTACAGACAGAGGAACTTTCAGATGATAACCATAGATATGAAGATTGTTTGCCTGGGGGTATTTCATCTGAATATGAAGAATGTGACCCAGGAGAAAGTTTGCTTAGTGGCAAAAAAATGTCCCATAGTTCTGTTTTTACTGATTATGGAGAGATTGGGAGACAGAACAAGTCAAGGGACATAACTTGCATCTCTAGTACGGAAAAATTGGTAAAAGAGAAACTTGAAGTACTAAACGAGTTGCAAGAAGTTAAGGTAGATCATATACAACAAGCAAATAACAAGAAACAGTTTGAAGAAAAGACTCAAAAAGAGGAATGTATTGAGCATCATGAAAAAGGAGATGAATATATGAAATCTTTATTATGTCCTGAAGTACCATCTCTTTCACAACAGCAAGAACATACTATCTGTTCACTTGAAAAACCCAAATCTTTGAATGTTCAGAAAAACTATGAACACTTATTGCAGCATGAAGAAATAGAATACTCAAAACCCAAAGAAAGAGAGTGCATACAGCAAAATGTAAAATTAGATGTTTCACAGCAACATACAAAAGCAGAGTGCATGCAACATAAAGAGATGGACCCTAAAGAAAAAGACCTATCATGGCATTATAAGGAAACTGGATATTTACAGCTTGATGATGAAGACTATTCACCTCTGTATGAAGAGGCTAAAGATTATCTGGAGTATGGAGAGGAAAAATGTTCAGAACAGTTTAAAGAAACATTTTACTACAAGGAACAAAGAAGTGTAGCATCAGACACATCAAAACAACAAGTTGTAGCATCAGACCAAGAAATAGAAGCACAGGAATTAGAGCAGAGTTCTGATACAGACTCCATGGGTACAGCACAATCACGTCAGGTTTGTCAATTTGATACTGGGCTTTAGTATGAATAGAATGATATTGTTCTATATGGAGTAGCACAGTAGGTACAGTAAAAAAAGTTTCTCTTGTATTTTTATCTGTATTTATGTATTTACTTTGCCTCCTGTAAATTCTAATATCAAAAGATTGCAAATTCTTGTGATACTTGAAGACCACAAATCAGTGTTTGAAGTAAACGAATTGTGTATTGTTTCCTCCTTATGTAATGGGACATTATTACAATATTGCATAAAACGTCTATGGTTTAAAATACATTGGAATAATGAAAATAAATTTCATGAATTCATGAAACAAATTTCTCTATATTTAATGGCCTGTAAACCCACAGTAATATGTATTGTGATGTGTCTTTTTCATTGCATTTCCAGTGGACTGATGTAGAGTTTTCACATATAGTGGTTTAACTTTGCTATCTATTTTAGTTATATTTATAAATCAGGTGCTTTATTTCTAATGGTATTTATGTCATTTTGCAAGAGTGAAAGAAATGAAATAGACTTTAGCAACATACATATTGGGAAATGAAAAGAAAATGGCTTGAGTAAAACAGCAGTCATGTTGTATTGTTGATATTTGTTGTAGTGATTAATGTTGATATATAGCTTTGTACTTCTGTGTATGGCGACTTTTATGACAAAAATCATTTGAGTGGTAAAACAGCTGATTCACTTTTATGTCTTAAGCTAGAAGTTTACTAGAACAGGATTGATGTAGGTTGATGGCTGGTTATAATGGTATTTTGAAGTAGTCATGATGTATCCATGTATGTAGAAGGGTTTTACATATATATACATATATATACATATATATCTATATTTATAATCTATATCTATGTCTATATCTATGTCTATATCTATATCTATATCTGTCTATCTATCTATCTATCTATCTATCTATCTATCTATCTATCTATCTATCTATCTATCTATCTATCTATCTATCTATCTATCTATCTATCTATCTATCTATCTATCTATCTATATCTATATATATATATATATATATATATATATATATATATATATATATATATATATATATATATATATATACATACATGTATATATATGTATATTTATTTGTTTATAAGAAATTAAGTATAATGAGAAAAATCAAGAAACAGATGACATATTTTAAAAGAATGGTACTTAATAGATGTGGAAAGTTGATAAAAGTTCATGATCATTTCCTAATGAAAGATTCCTCCAAAACAGATCCCACTGAAAGAAAACAGCTCTGAGGAGGATGGCTATGAAGAAGAGGAAGAAGATGAGGAGGACGTTAGTGAAAGTGAAATGGTTGTTTCCGCATCAATCCAGTTTCCTCTTGCTAAAAAGGGTAAGGCATATGAAATGGTTAATGTAGGAACTGTTTGACTGTAGATCTTTGGTGTTTCCAAATGTGGCTGTAGGTTATTCTTGATTATTCTGTGTATCATGTTGAATATATTTCTTTGCAGAAGGAGTGAAGACCTGCATATTAGCTATGAAATTTAAATATAAGATTATGAAATGTGAATTTAAAGGTAATATTGATTTAAAAGAATTGAAAATTAACAATGACATTACACGCATCTTAAGCATGTATCGGGTTTTGCAGCTGACAAGGAGCCAAGCGGTGAGGATGGCAGTGAAGGCAAGGAGGAGACAAAGGAACCTCAGGCCAATGCATCGCCAGAAGTAAACGAAGGAGTCACAGTCCAAGTCCAGCATCAGGTGACACAACAGCCTCCCCCCAAAGAAGGTCTGTTATGTTTGTGTCTCTGTATCTTGCACTAAGTGTTGCTCTCCTTTCTGTGTGAAATTCAGGATCACCTTTGTGAAGTAGTTTTCATCATTGTTTTTGTGTATTGGTATACTTGGTCTTGTCTTAGCAGGAAGAAAAAGCTAAAGTTTTCATAGATTTCATCGAGAGACAGAGCAGACATATTTTAAGATTGTATTTTTTTTGTGTGTGTATGATTTGATATATGCATAAACCAGTACAAGACATTCACATAATATCCTATCACATCATGTTCCTCAGAATCATAGATCATAGTGTAACAATATGCAATATACAGTGGAAACTGTTGCTGTCATTGCGCTGTATAATACATATATACTCACACCCTCCCTAATAACCTTTTGTATGGTCATAGGAAAAAGATTATAGAAATGATATTTTGTAGACCATGATTCAGCAATAATAGAAAACTTGTCACTGCTTTGCCAAAAATAGGCAGCCCTTCAGGTTGTGAAAGTGATGTGGAAGATAACATAGAGGAGGACTCCAAGAGTATATCAGAGTCATCTCTTCCTGTGCCTCTGGCTTCACCTCCAAGTCGCATTCCCACTTCTGTGCAGTTACCAGAAACTGTTTCGCGGCTGGACACCCCATTCGGTAGTTCTGTCTTCCTGGTGGGGACGGCACATTTCTCACGGGAGAGCCAAGAGGACGTTGCTACTGTGAGGCATTTTTCTTTTTTTGTATTGATGTGCCTATTATTATTTTTTTCTTATTTTGCTTTTTCCTATTCTTTTTTTTTTATATTCCTTGAGAATGTTTTAGATTTTGTACTAGATTTCTCCATCATTGTGATTTATTATAGTTTTTTGTAGCTGGATGTACTCTTACAACAGGATTGTCAATTTTAGTTAAAGCAACTCATTATTTCAAAATTGTTTGAATCAGAACAAAAATTTAATTAGTTGTTGTTTAATCCCCAGACAATCAGAACAGTCAAACCTGACATAGTTGTTGTGGAATTGTGTAAAGCACGTACTGCCATCCTTCAGCTGGATGAGGAAACAATCCTTCAGGAGTCAAGAAGCCTTGACTTCAGTAAGTGTATTAATTATTTATTTGTCATATGAATGGAATTTATTGAATATATAGGTAAATAGTAAACTTTCAGTACCTTATTTGATTTTATAGATATTCCTTTAAGTAATAGATCTATAGTATGTACTGTTCCATATGATTAACTTTTTTAATATTCAAAGTGTCAGTGCAAGTAATACTTGTTATGTAATGCCTTAGTATATCATCCAGTAGAAGTAGACTGTAGATTCTGCAACTTTTCTGGTCTTTCAGCTTTAAAAAATCTCATTTCACTGGAAATATTTTGAGAATGTTATTCAGAGACCAATTTAAGGAAATATAGAAGTTTGATGTCATCATTTAGTGGTGCAGTATGTTGTTGTTTCAAGTTGTTTTTAGGTGTAAAAAAAATACTTTGAGATAGATAACAGATGATATTTGGATAATTAGCTGCCTTGTTAATGATTACATGCTGCTTACTAGTGGTCTGTAATTTACCTTTAGGCCATAGGAGCTGCAAAGCATATGACAGTGGATAATTGTTATTTTTTATTAGAGATGGAGAGGGAGTTTTTTCACTATATTTTCTGTATCATTAATTTGCTTTCACAAAAGTTTTCACGTGATTTAAGAAGGGTTGCAAATGGTTTACTTGAAATAAAAAGTGAACATGGTTCAATGCCAGTACCTTTGCTGCAAACAAATAGCCAGATTGCTGTTGAAGGTTAGTGATTGTACCTTGTTATTGCAGAGTAAAAAAAAAAAAAAAAGGTAAGAGAATTCAGAAAAGATTGTAATAACTTGATATTCCTTTCAGAAAAAGTACAAATGATTATGAAGCAGCATGGAAAGATCCAAGGCATTTTGTATTTGCTTCTTCTCTCTTTGTCTGCACACATCACCAAACAGCTGGGAATGGCACCGGGAGGAGAGTTCCGCACAGCTTTTTCTGAGGTAAGCCTTTATATCAGTGAATTTTGGTTGGGTTTTATAAAAGAAAATAATGATAATAATGGGTAGGCAAATATATAAATAAGTGATGAATGGAATAATGAATAGGTATCAGAATTTGTAATTTCATGAAATAGTACAGTTGGAAAGGTTTTTCTTTTGATTTTGGAAAGCATTGTAGTAAAAGAAGAGGATGAAACTGATTTGCAGATATTGTATCAATATATTTTTTTTTTTATTCCTCTTCTAGGCACGCAGATCAGCTCCTGGTTGCCTTATACAGTTGGGTGACAGGCCAATCCAGGTTACATTATCTCGTGCCTTAGCATCACTCTCTCTCTGGCATAAAGTGAAGCTTACCTGGCATATCCTTACATCAAAAGAACCAATTAGGTAAGTACTTTGGTGAATATTGCTTGCTTCTGTAATGTCAAATGCAATTTGGGTGTTGATGATGAATTCCAAATGTGTTACTGAGAATTTGATATATATTGAGTTTATAATGATTGCATACACATAACATATGAATTTCGTGTATGTAATGTTTTATTATTCATTAGTATCATTAATGCTTTTACTCTCTTTGTGTGTTGATACTCACTGCACATACCTACTTATGTAATGGATTTGCAATTCTTCCCCCAGTGTAGGCCTACACATACTTGTACTCACTCACTCATTCACCCCCTCACTCTCTGATTCACTAAAAGGAGTATTGTGATTCTGAACTTGGACACTTAAGTTATGGCTGCCACTTACAATTAACCAAAAGAGTCAAGAATCAATTAGTGTCACTGAGTTGATGCTTAATTGTCGAGGAATAGGACAGGCAGATGTATGACTGCTGCAAGAGTCATTGCTATAAATACTAGGAGAAAAAAAGCCTTTCAATTGATTAACCCATTCGTCCCGGGTGTCACATATATGGGACACAGGGAAAAAATAAACAGTGTCGGGCTGCCCGCCAGTGCGATGCTGTCTCGGAGCCGTGCTCCGCGGCAGAAGACAGACTCCGGGAAGCTATTTTGTAGCTGCCTGGATTTTTTAAATTTTGGCTACAAAATGTACCCCGGCGCGGGTGGGTTAATTGTCAAGAATCAATTAGTGTCACTGAGTTGATGCTTAATTGTCGAGGAATAGGACAGGCAGATGTATGACTGCTGCAAGAGTCATTGCTATAAATACTAGGAGAAAAAAAGCCTTTCAATTGCTTACACCCAAGTATTCTGTTAACCCATTGGTGATGCCACGCACTACACCCAGTTGCTTGAGTGAGAAATTAGAAGCATGGGAAACAGGTTTAGCCAAGTGAAAAGCTGTCTGGCATACAAAATGTAGAGCAAGCTCAGCTGCAAGGGACATGGATACCTGTCACCCAGCATTTTGGCCCAATTTGCCATGATATGATGTCACACAACATGTGAATAGGTTGAAATGTAATACTTGTTATGTAATGCCTTAGTATGATGATAGGAGAAAATTTTACAATGCATATTGTTGTGTATTTCCACAGTTCCATATTTCATCCATTTTTTTAAAATGAAGCTGGACATGTCTTTCACGTTTCAGGTTGTACTCGTCCAACCTCAAGTATAAGTCAAAAGAGTTGAAGTCAGATATCAACTGCCTAGTGTAATATCCCAATTACTTGAGCAGAAAAAATAATAAACAAAGTCATATCGCCCCTTATCTCATAGTATCTTCTTTGTTTAAACAGCAAGGAGGAAGTGGAAAAGTGCAAGCAGAGAGATTTTATAGAAGAAATGCTTGCAGAGATGACAGGGCAATTTCCGGCAATTAGTGAAGTGTTTGTTAAGGAAAGAGATATATACCTGTGTCGGTCCCTCCAAGCTGCTGCTCAACCTGTTCCGAACCCCATGTCACCCACTGGTAAGAGACGGCAAATGGGTTATTTGTTTTGGTGCCTAATCAAGATAAAATGCATTTATGAACTTGGATTTTTTTTATGCTCTTTTAACCTTTGATGTTAAGCTGTTACTGTTTTTGACACCATTTTTCTAGTCTTTTGTCTCTATTTCTGCTGAACCCTCTGCAAATGCTTCATATGAATTAATCTATAATGTGAATTAATCTGTAAAGTTTTTATTTTTAAGGGGGCCGTCTCACTCAAGAACAAAGTTCATTAATTATGATTGGATTTTTGCAGTTTTCAATAGCTAATATATACATATAGTATGATTTACACCACCAAGTTTCATATCATTTGGATAATAAACAATGAAGTTATTTTTAAAAGATACAAAATTTTGAAAAATCAAAAAGACGTATCTCACTTATCCATTGACTGAACGTGTTGAAAAAATACCACATATGCTTTATAGCAATACCTAAATTTGTAACAATTTGGATTTTTATTTATTTATTTATTTATTTTATTATTATTGTTTTTTTAATGTTCATTGTTAAAAATATAAAACGTGATTTATGGACTTGTATCACCTGAAATGAAAATTGGCATCATTCCAAAAATCACAAATTTATTCCGCTTTCAAATGATCCAAACCCCATTAGAATAGCCCAAGTAGTTATGGAGAAACAAAAAACAATGTTTACAAAGGTGTAGTTTTGAGATATCAGGCTTTGAAGTTGAGGATACTTTTTCCTCCATTTTTTTTTTTTTTTTTTTTCCCATTTTTATTTTATTATTATTATTTTTTTTTTTAGAAATCTGATCTCTGCATAAATCTTGATGCATTCTATGGCATTCACCTGGTATTCTGAAGTGTAGCTGGTACCTGGTCGCCCCCCCCTCCCTCCTTTTGCAAGAGATTAATGGTAATAACTGCAGAAGATTGTAGAAGTACTGCGTGTCAACACAGGCTTTGCAGTGCCTTTACAGTACCTCATGAGGCATTTCATACAAATAAACAACTGCTGCAGCTGTGATTGAGATGTATTTCTCATCATATTATGTTTATTTGTTACAGGAATAACATCTATCATTAGTAGTGTCTTCTTAGTGTGTGATGAGGGTGCATCACACACTATGTATCAGCGTGACTATGGGATGGTATCACGCCGAGGCAGCGCAGCCTCTCGCTCTGTCTCTCTCATGGCTGTCAGCTGATTCAGAAGCAGAGTTGCCTGTTTGCTACCAGAGAATACCAAAATGGATCGAAAAAATCCAAAAAAACAAATCTTTTGAGTATATTTGCTCGGATGCAATACAGTAAACATTGCAGCTGGAGGCGGGGGGGGGGGGGGTCAGAGATTTAATCATAATTCCTTTATTTTTAAGTATTTAGCAGAAGTATTACATCACAGGATTGCCAAAGCCTACTAGTTTACAGGAGATTTTTTCAAATTTTTGAGTATTTAAAAAAATATTTGGCGAAAATTCATTGCAACGGCCCCATTTAACCCAATGATGCCAGGATGTCCGTAAACCTGAGGGTTTCTGTAGTTTGGAGGTATATTTTTTGTTGCTGGTTTCTGTTTCAAAAGCCTCCTACTGACAGCTTGCCTTATGCTAGGTTAAATAGCCTGTAACTTTAGTTACTCCCTCATTTAAATGGTAGGTGCTTCATATGTTAAAAATACAGTTTTCAAATGATGTGGGTAATCAAGAACATCATTATCATTATTACTAGAATCCAAAATCTACATTGCTTATAACACTGAAGCCAGGAGGAATATATTTCCAACTCATGCACAGTTTTACATATATAGGTGTTAACTCATATTGAATAGTAATTGTATACATGCACCCTTCTGGCTAAGCCCAGATTAACTCGAATATATATATGCATGCATCCCAGCACTATTGGTTTAACGTATGATCCCAACCACATGGTTGCACTCCATAGAAGTCTGATTGAAACAAGATCAATAATTAGATTAAATATTTACACAGTGATAGATTCCCACAGAGACTTTTCTTCAAGATCATACTGTATTCTTTCTTTCTCCAAAGAGTGTAATTTAATCATTTGATAACTAAACAGGTATGTCACCACGCGTTGTTGTTGGCGTGGTTGGTATTGGTCATGTGCCCGGAATCGTGGAACATTGGGGCAAGATTACTGATGAAGACATTCCTCCTATCATGAGGTAGGACCTTTTTATTTGTTGTTGTTATTGTTATTGTTGTTATTATTATTATTATTATTATTATTATTATTATTATTATTATTATTATTATTATTATTATTATTATTATTATTAATTATTTATTATTGTTATTATTATTATTATTATTATTATTATTATATTATTATATTATTATTATTATATTATTATTATTAGATTATTGTTATCATTATTGTATTCATTATTATTACTTATTGTTTGTTGTTATTATTATAAGTATAGTAGTAGTACTAGTACTAGATACTACTACTACTACTACTACTACTATTATCATTATTGTTATTGATTTATTATTATTGTTGTTATTATTATTTTTATTATTATTCATTATTATTATTATTATTATTATTATTATTATTATTATTATTATTTATAATAATAATTATTGTTTTATTTTTATTATTATTATCATTGTTATTGTTATTGTTATTTTTTGTAATTATTATTTTTGTTATTGTTGTTGTTGTTATTATTATTATTGTTATTGTTGTTGTTATTGTTATTATCATTGTTATTATTATTATTATTATTGTCATTGTTATTGTTATTATCATTATGTTTACTTTTGTTGCAATGATTATTATTACTGTTATTAATATTGTTGTTGTTGTAACTGTTGTTATTATTGTATATCATTAACATTATTGCTGTTATTGTTAAAATTATTGTTATTATAAATGTCATTACTGTTATCATCATCATAATCATCATCTTTTATTGTTTTCTTTGATATTATGATTGATGCTAATGGTTTGTAGCTTTAAAGTTTATTGTTATTGTTTATCGATTCTTTAATCAATAATTTTCAAGGGTGGGTGTAGGCCTTATGAAAAAGCAGGAATTTCTCTTATTTTATGCTTTATTCTCTTAGACAGAGCATGGTTAAATAAAGAGAAGTTTATGAAGAAACGCAAAAGTATCACCTTATAAGTATAGTTTTCTTTAGTCTACTATATTCATTCTACTTATTGACCTCCTCCACATCCTTTAAAACACTTGGGAGGAGATTTTAACTTGTCCTGGACCTGTATACTGCTTGTATACTAATAATGAGACTTATTTATTTGTTTATTAGTTTATGTATTTATTCATTTATTCATTTATTTACTTTTTATATATTACTAAGAAGCAGTGTCAGTATCTCACTTATAATGTGATTAATTCATACTCAGCAAAAAGACTAAGATCATATTCAAAATCTCAGAAGGAATTTTATTCATAGATGTAAGGGAGGTGTAGAGGCACTGAGGGAAGGACTGATTCCTAAAGGAGGCGTGGTAAAGCTGAAGACCCATGGTTATTATTGAGTTTTCTTTCTTTTTTTTCTCTCTTTTTTTCATCGCTATTTTTATTAGCAGTCATAGTACTAGTAGCAGTAAAGGTAATATTAGTATTTAAGAAAATGGAATAAAATCACATATATTTCAGTTGTCATGTCTCATTTCTTACAGGATACCACCCCCCAGTTTATCAAGCCAAATTCTTAAGGTCACTGCCAAGGTGACCGTGTATGGTCTCATTGGGTATGGTGTATATAAGTGTTTGCCAAGTGCAGCAAAGTCCATGATCCACTCTTCTGTCCAGTCTACGGTGTTGACGCTGAAATCCCTACCAGAACAATGGACAAAGTAAATGGTAAGTTTTATAGTATGGTTGAGATTAGGGAAAATTGGTCAAGTGTGATGTAAAAGGAAGTAAACAATTAATTTTTATATCCTTGCATATATGTCTTCCTATGTGCTTTTTAGGCTTGATAAACTGTAATATGGTGATCTTACACAGTATGGTTCTGTCCTTTGAATAAGATATTCAGTATTTTGAATTATACTGATTATAAATATACTCTTCTCAATTTCAGAATTGAATGAAACTCGCTGCATGGGAAGAAGAGAAGA